AGTGAAATTAAAGCTACAAACACGTCTGTTTAGACACAAATATGTATCGCGGGACAACTAAGCGTTCAATCCACAAGTTTAAAACATTATACCCGACCTTAAACAAAACAAAAAATTAAAAATGAAGGGAATATAATGTTTCTATTTAATATCATTCAGTCATTGATTAATAAATATTTTATGAATGATAACAAAATATTACTCACTGAAAAAAAATCAATGCCATAAAATATACTAAAAGTGCTCTTTACACAAAAATACTCAATAAAGCCTTTGGTAAATGTGAAATGTTGAATAAACCTATTCCCTTTGTAAATTACGACAAGTGGAATCTGTAAGAGGTATGTTTCGTTTTATGTCAAACTATGAATTTTAGATAGCATATTGATTAAATTTTAAATCTATACATATAATAAAATTGTAACTAAGCCGAATCTGTACATTAAATATTTTTTGGAAAATCTTATTGAAATAGACATTATTATCGATACAGAGGCCGAATCTATAGTTTTTAGAATTTTTGTCTTTCTGTCTGTCTGTCTGTCTGTCTGCTACCGCATCACGGAAAACCACTGGGGGGGATTTTGTTGAAATTTGGTATGGTGATAGCTGGTTATCCGGGTCAACATATAGGATACTTTTTACCGCGGGAAAATCTCATTTCTGAGAAAAAATACAAAAACTGCAATGTAAGAGTATACTAATAGGTAAAAACTAAGAATTTTATTTATGGTCATCTGAACGCGGGCGGTGCCGCGGGCAATGCTAGTGTTTAATACAACTATATCTGCTCTACAAACTATTATTTTTACCTAGAGACCTTTGCTCGCTTGCCTTCAGTCATCACAATATCCCGGCAAAATCCATAAAGCAAATTATTCCGCGAAGAGACGAGGAAGTAAGTCTTTTTCCTGGCATAAAAGAGAAAGTCCTTAAAAACACTAACAAAATGTTCACTTTCACACACTTTATTTACAAAATATCCTCGCACCATCCCATTTAGTATTTATGTAGTTTTCAAAGCGTTTTGTATGGAAATGAAATATTTTATATTCCGTTACTTTACAAACAAGATGAGATGTCGGATTACTATTTGAAAGCGTATGTATGTATGTATGTATGTATGGGCCATCTGGTTGTTTTTATTAGCTAATCGGAATAGTTAAGTAGATGTTAAGTTTGTACAGCGCATTGTAGTGAGTGAACTTCGAAGTCTTTGCAATGACAGCTAGGCGGTTTAACTGGCAAGCTTTAAAGTGAAGAATTAAAAGACTATTTGAAAGATCCAAGTTTCAAAATTTCAGAACTTACGCACCTTATATTACAAAATTTAAATTAAAAAAAAACAGCAATTTACAATATTATTCATCTAGGTATATGTATTGAAGCTCCTGTTTTAGCGGCAAAGGCACTTCCCGCCACTTCGCCGTTGGACGTGCTCGTAAATATTTGAAGGTCCAATTAATTAAAACTTTCGTTATTCACTACAATAGGTGCACTTTCAAAGTTGAAAGTGACTTTCTACGATCTGCGTATTTCTTGAATTTTATTATATTTAAACCGTTCCTAGTACATCATTTTGTTTTGACGCGAAGGCGAAATATTCTTTCCATATTGTATCTATATAATCGAACTTTCTTCACAAGTAAACGCAGGATACTCGTAGTCTTTTATGCATCAAGTATACTTTAAATATTATCTTCTTATGGATTTATTTTACGTACCTACATATGTAAGTATTTTACTTAAACAACAGTTCACGTTTGACGACACGTTTGGCTCAGTTTGTAATGACACTAGTTGCTGTGTCAGCGGTTGTGGGTTCGAGTCCCGCTGGCCGCATTCATTTGTGTGATGAGCACGAATGTTCTACCCCGGACATGGGTGTTTATATTTATAATATTTATGTATGTACTTAAAGTTATATATGTGTAGTGTAACAACTATCTGGTATCCATAATACAGGCCTCGTAGCTTACCATGGAACTATGTAGATGGTAGCCGATTCCGGCCACGGCGGCCAATCTCAATGAGATTAGCCAACTGCGCAGGAGATATTATAGTGCACAAGTGTACGCGCAGACACAAGTGCACTCTCTATTCCTGTCACTCTCATACTCCGGTGGGACGACTGTACGACACGACCGGTGAGAGTTAAGGCGCAGGACCGACAGCTTTACGTGCTCTCCGAGGCACGGGGGTGAAACACCACCAACTTCCCAACTCCGGGCTGTTACTGAGACTTACTATACAGAAAGACTCAATAACTAAACTTGGCCCGACCCGGGACTCGAACCCAGGACCTCCGGGTGTGCAGCCGTACATGCTAGCCACTACACCACCGAGGCAGTAGAAATGAAATAACATAAGGCTACATTATATACATATATGCTAGGTACAAAAAAATACATGAAAAAGAAATTCTGTAATACGTGTTATTACAAAATCAGTATTTATTAACTCATGCGTGTGGTGCTGACGGAGTTTCGTTTAAAAAAAGATTAATAACATTTTCCTTTCCTTCATTTCCTTCTCAGCATTGTGCTATTATTTTTACGAACAAAGACTTAACTACTTTGAATAACAGAAATTCAGAAAATTAGATTGGTATGTCTGAGACCTATATACCAATGTTTTCATAAAATCAAGTGGCATCAATCAAGTACGTATAATAAAAAACTTTTAATAGATCTCGACATAAACCTCAGGCTTGTGCTGACGCCGCGACATCGCGCGTCTCTGACACAGTTACCTGAAAGCTTGGAAAGGGTAAAATTATAGGAATTGTCAACAAGTCACATTGGATTAAAAAAAATTCTGATTAATTATCTATATTAATATTATAAAGAGGCAAAGAATTAATTAAAAAATAGTGTAGTCGGAAACCTAACGCTGATTCGAAAAGCAGTTCTCAAGAACTCAACAGTTGCTCTTTTAAAGCTTAAATCTGAGTAACAGTGTTTAATACAACATTATATCTTAATTCTACATATTTCCTCCAACAAGAAAGTATTGTACAGAGTAATATGCTTTGTTTACTAATTAATTAATTTTATCTTTAAACTGTTGAGAAAGTAGAAGGAAACTGGGAAGGATATAGGATGGTTTTTAAATAATCATCCTTTAAGGTGATGAAAATGGAGGCGAAAGTTTGTATATGGACGAACCCGAGCGAAGCGAGGGTGAGCCTCTAGTCTATTGCAGACTCAATAAAATTCCAACCCCAACAATGATATGAAATGAATTACGCCATGAAAGTTATATATCTATAACTTTTTAGTCCTCCCACAAACGATAACAAGTTATATTATGAAATGCACATATTTTATATCTATGAGAAGCTGTCTCAATTATAATTGGGTATAATAAACTATGACATGGAAGCCTCCCGACCGCTCCGAGGCGACACATCGCGAGCTGAAAAGCTAATTAAAACTTAGTAACCTTACTGAAGAATACCTATGTACTATCTATTTTTAATATTGTCGTTTTATACGAGACAGTGATTTTTAGAGAATAAAATAAGCTCTACTATACTATGTTTTTATGCGACTTTTATCGCTTGAATGAGAAAGTTCTCTCTATGTATTTTTCTTTGACACTCTCCGAAAACTTTCAAGGGTTTTTTCCAAGCGAAAAACTAAAACAAATCTATTCCACAGAAACCTAGCCTTTTTCTGGGATGAATAGTACCCTTTGTGCTATTTTAGAATATAATCTATCTCTGTACCAAATTTCATCCAGATCCGTTCAATCATCATACTCGATATCAAACTAGTTGTTTATTACTTTCGCAGATAGGTATATGATATCCAAGATGATCAAAAATGTACATGCTCAAAACACACTCTCCATCTTATGAGAGTCAAACCTGTGACCTCTGGTATAAAAACATACTGGTATAACTCATTCTAAACAACTACCTAGTGCTACGAAAATCATTAATGTGCCCTAATAATAACTATAACTTTTTATTATTCAGTTAAGTATATATAGAAATATAAGTATACTTTATTTCTGTCATAAATCGTAACATTATTTGTGCAATGCTAAGAATAATGTGACGCACATTCCTAACATTTTATATAACAACGTCAGATCTAAGTTATTCGTGGGAAGGTATTAGAGGAACGCAGAAATTCTTTTGATAAATTTCTAACCTAGAAAATTCTTTTGATAAATTTCTAGCCTATATGCAACTCCAGGTCATAAAATTTCATCCAAATCCGTCCAACCCTTTTAGCGTAATATACACAAAACACATAATATACACAAAAACTGTGGCACACACACAAACGTAGAAGTTTTTATAACTTTAGCACATTTATAATAGAAGTCAAATAAAAGCAAATTACCCTTCCCTCGTTTATTTTTTTTAAGGTATAGAATGGATTTACTCAACTATGTATATTATATATCAGTTCACCGCGAGGCAAAGATGGGTATAGATGCACCCCCGTCGTTCTCAGCCAAATAATTCGTTTTGCTAGTTTAAACCAAATTTAATAAAAAAAATCTTATATAATTAGCTAATTTACGTTACAAGTAAAGGCGTAGTGCAAATTTTATCAAGTATTCTGCTGAATTTTGTGCTAAAAATAGTGAAACTGTGAGTTACTTTATTGTTGGTGAAGGGTATTCGTAACATACGACCGTGTCTTTGTCGCCGTGGGTCATTAACCTCAATACTCGATGCATCACATTGCCCGTGACAACATAGTCTAATTCGCCTATCGTCGCTAACGTTCGCTGGCGTATCGGTGCACACCTAGTGGCTTAATCGACACGTTCCAGGTTCAAACCCAAGTTCATAAAATAATTTTCGTTTTTTAAATTTTAATAATATACTTATAAGAACATGGAATTTGCTTGTTGCATCAAAACTACATGTGAAGCTCACGATCCTCTTATTTGTACACGTTGTGAACGAAAACTTCCACGTCGATTGTGCGCTGCCATCTAAATCACTAAATTGGGAGCCCGATGAAAGCATAAGACTAATGTGGAGGTGCCCCTCCTGTGGCAGCGCCTCTCCTCGTAACAATAAAGACGATACTCCTTGCCGTAATGTTACAAAGCGCTCTAAGCCAAAGAGTGACAAGGCTACAACGAGTATTGTAGACAAATCCGCTAAGTCAAACCAAAAACCTTTAAGTCTTGCACAAATTACGGCGGAGGAGATACGGTCTATAATTAAATCTGAGATTAAAGATGCCCTGTCGTCATTTCAAAAATCTTTCGATGATCTTCGAATAGAAATATCCTCACTACGCAGTTCTGTGCAGTTTCTAAGCGACAGATATGATAGTGTCACAAAAAAGATGGAATCTATTGAAGCGAAAATGAAAACAATTGAAGCTAGTAGATCGGAATGCTTAAACTTGCAAGGGGCCGTGTCCGCACTTCAGAACGATATTAATAAAAAGGAGCAATGGGCCCGACGTTCAAACATTGAGATAATCGGTATACCAGAAGCGAAAAATGAGAATTTACTTAACATAATTAGTAAAATTGCCGATGTTGCCGATGTTAAATATGTTGCTACAGATATTGACTTTATCACTAGAGTCACTCCAAAGCATAACGATTCAAAAAAATCTAGACCTATTATAATTCGTTTCCTGTCTCGATATAAAAAGGACGACTTTCTGGCTAGATTGAGGGAAAAGAAGAATTTAAAGTGTTGTGATATCGGATATGTAGGTAATAGCAATCGCATTTACTTTAACGATCACCTTACTAGTTTCAATAAAATGATCCTCCGTAAGACTAAGGATCTAGCTCGTGAAAAGAAGTTTAAATATGTATGGGTTAAGAACTGTTCCATCATGGTGAGAAAAAACGACACTAGTCCTGTTCTGCACATTCAGTCCGAAAATGATTTTAAAAGAATAATATAAGTGTTAATAATGTATTTATTGATTTATTGCATTTTTATTTCTATGTGCATGTACAATTCTTGATAAAATTTCTTAATATACCTATATTTTTATTTCGCAGTTTTAAGAGACAGATGAATATTTTAATTAAACTATTTTTAGGTTTCTTTTTATCTATTTATTATTTGGAATTTTATAGATTTAATAAATATTTGTTAAATTTTTTAGTTAGTATTAATAATGTTTTTATGCACTGTTTTCAATGTATTAATATACTTATATTTTTATTTCGCAGTTTTAAGAAAGAGATGGATATTTTAATTAAACTATTATTAGGTTTCTTTTTATCCATTCATTATTTGAAATTTAATAGATTTAATGAATATTTGTTACATTTTTTACTTAGCGGTAATAATGTTTTTATGTATTGTTTTCAATGTATTAACTGGATGAATGCAGGGTTCAAATATTTTAATCCACTTTTAATGAATTATTATTTTCTGTCGATAAATTGTTGTTTCTTATTTTTACACTTTATAATTCTTAGTAATGTTGTTATAGTATTATTATATTTCAATGGATTCTAAAATAATTTTATTTTACCAAAATGTACGTGGTCTGCGTTCTAAAACCTCTTCATTTTTTTCTAATATATTGAATGTAGAATACGATATTATTTGCTTAACAGAAACATGGTTGTTGCCTGGTATTTATGATTCTGAGCTCTTTGACTACAGATACTCCGTCTATCGATGCGATCGTGATTATGATTCTCGGAATGATAAACTAGGTGGTGGCGTTCTGATTGCCGTTCGAAATGGCTTAACTGTGAGAGAAGTAACCGTTCAACCCTCCACTAATACTTGCTCATCAGATGTTATTACTATTTGTATAGGCATTAAGTCAAACAACAATCTTACCAACTTTCGAATATATTGCGGTTACTTTCCCCAATGTGCGTTGCAACTTGATGATCAAATTAAATTTTATGAACAAGTATCCGAAGCAATCATTTTAAATCCTAAAGACACATTTTTATTAGTTGGAGATTTCAATATCCCGGCCGCTAATTGGTCTCAAGTTGATGATACTAACGTCACTAAACTGTTACACACACCCAGAGATTCAAATTCTCAAGTTAGCCTATTATCTACTTTTTTACGAATAAATAACTTAAACCAGTTTAACATTATACCTAACGGTAATAATCGATATTTGGATCTGGTGATTAGCAATTCTAATTGTATTAGTGTAAAACACTGTGAAATACCTTTAGTTAAAGAAGATTCACATCACCCCGCTCTAGAAGTTGAATTAAGCAATTTACTATCTAACTTTCTCACGAATGCTCCACGAGTTGTTAAACTTTTCCGTAAAGCGAATTATCATGAAATTAATAAAAGGTTGTTTGAAATTAATTGGCCGGAGTGTTTTAAGTCTTTAGATATAGAGCGTGCAGTTGAAGTATTTTACGAAATCATTAATCGTGTTATTGATTCTCTTGTTCCCACTAAAATTGTTCTTGTTAATAATAAATATCCCATTTGGTATACCTCTGCGTTAAAAAAAATTACTAAGGAAAAAATAAAAGTCCATAAAAAATGGAAAACTTATGAAAATTATAGTGACTATTGTACTTTTCGGATGCTGAGGAGGAGACAAAAAGTAGTTGATACCGAATGTTATAATAACTATCTGAAATACGCTGAAAACACAATTGCTAAGGACTCTAAATACTTTTGGACATTTGTAAAATCTAAAAAGCAAAGCGCTGACTTACCTGACATGTTTTACCTGGATAATTTTTCTACAGATAATGGACAAGAGATTAGCGATCTTTTCAACAACTATTTTTATTCTTCTTTTGAGCAGACTCCCATTAAGTATACCCCAAATATTAAAGTAGACGTTCACCCTCGCTGTAATAGCATGGACCTTTCTTCTGTTAATATTTCAATGCTGACTGTTGATAAATACTTAAAATCATTAAACATAAACAAGGGCTGTGGTCCAGACGGTGTACCTGCTATATTCTTGAAGAGATGTAATGAGAGCCTTAGATTACCCTTATTTATTCTTTTTACTCTATCTTTACGGACGTGCACTATGCCTTCTCAATGGAAAAGGTCATATGTAGTACCTATCTTTAAAAGCGGTGATAAGCATGACATAAAAAATTACCGTCCTATTTCGAAACTAAGTTGTATCCCTAAGATGTTTGAAAAGATGGTTTATGATACAATGTTACCCGTTATTAGACCTTTAATTATTGAACAACAGCACGGTTTTATTAACAGAAAATCTACTGAAACGAATCTTTGCGAATTCACTGATTTTGTTACGTGTGCAATGGATAATGGATATCAGGTGGACGCCGTGTACACAGATTTTTCTAAGGCTTTTGATAAAATATCTCACCTTATTCTTCTAGAAAAATTAAAATACATTGGTGTACACGGCGACCTTCTGCGTTGGATTGAGTCGTACCTTAGTAACCGTAGTCAAGCAGTAACTATAAAGGGTTACTGTTCATCTTTTATTCCAGTCCCATCTGGGGTACCCCAAGGATCCCATCTAGGTCCCTTATTATTTAATGTATACTTAAATGATATTAACCTAGTTTTCGAGCACTCCAAATTTTTACTATACGCTGATGATAATAAAATATTTAAAATTATTAAAGGTATAAATGATTGTATTGATTTCCAGAATGATTTAGATCGGTTTAGTGATTATTGTTCCAGGAATTCTTTGTTCTTGAACATTAAAAAGTGCAATGTTATTACTTTTACTAGAAAACGTTTAACTATTAATTACCAGTACAAATTAAATAAAGAAATTATTTCCAGAGCTAGTGTGGTTAAAGATCTTGGAGTTATAATCGACTCCAAGTTACTCTTTGATGAGCACGTCGCTTATATAGCTAACAAAGCTTATCGTATGCTGGGTTTTGTACTGAGGATATCCAAAGAGTTTAAGCAACCGTCAACACACATTCTTTTGTACAACACCTTCGTGAGATCTATCTTGGAGTATGCTTCTTCTGTTTGGAACCCTCAGTATAAGAATCATATTTGTAGAATCGAACGTATACATGATCGATTTATTAAGAACCTCCCAGTAAACATTTCTATTAATAATAAGAAAAATTTCTATCCTTATGTCAGCAGTTGAACGACGTGCTCAACGAGATCAAGTCCTTTTGTATAAGATCTTGAATAACGAAATCGATTCGCCGTATTTATTGTCTAAACTACAATTTAAATGTCCACGAAATATTAATCCCAGACAAAAATCCACTTTTTATGTCCCTGCTACTAGAACTAAATTTGCAAAAAATTCATTTATCAATAGAAGTTGTGATCAGTATAATAATCTTTTTATTAGTAATGACATATTTCATCTCTGTCTTAATAAATTTAAAATTAGTGTTATGTACAATTTGATTAATGCAAGCTGTTATTGATTTTATTTTACATTATTAATTTAAAAATGTGTTATTTATTGAATTATATTCTAAGGATTTTATTGATTATTTGTAATTATTGATTGTATGGCATTTCTCTCTCTCTCTTTTAAATTTGTAAGTCTCTTTTTTAATTGCTATTTTTAATATTTTGCATCTGTATCCATGTCTTTGTTATAAGTGTTATTTTAACAACGGAAACTATTATTGGTTATGTATTATCAATTGTTTGTTATTCTATGTTTATCTTGTAACACCGTTTGTTTCCTTAATAAATAAATAAATAAATAAATAAACTATATCAATAAGATAGAATAATCATGCCAAATATTTACCTCATTTTGGTATTCACGTCATAATTTGAAATATGCAGATTCTAAAACAAATATTTGAATTAATATAGCTGATCTCACTTTTGTTCTTTGCATTAGTAGTAAGTAATAATTATATTTCAAGCACAAAAGTACATGTTTATTCACCTTTTCCTTTTGCTTCCTATAGCTTTAAAACGACAACATTCTAGAGCTATAGCTTTCCTTATAAAGAAGCTTAGCAAAAGTTCGACATAAGAATCGAATGTGTATCGACTGAATTCGATCCGACCGACTGACCAGACGTTCATAAGTAAAATCTGACGAATTCTCCCAGTCTTAGACGTGACGAGAGCTTTGGAATGCTAAAATATTCAGTGCTTGTGCTCTACCTCTTCAAATACTTCCAATCATTATATTTATTCATAAGTACTTCGTCGTTAGGCTGAAGTTTGAATATGTGAATCACGTAATTTTTTACAGGGAAAATCACTTTTAGCTCGATATCGTACGTGCCTAGACACTTATAATTTATCTATTTGTTTAAGGTGTAAATTGCCAAGAGGTCGTCTTTAAACATATTGGTGGGACCACTTGTACTACTTCTATTCCCCTTATGGAGTAAAATTTAGAAATATAGTATTTTGACCAACCGCGACCAAAATGAGTGAGGGCCGTAATAATGATTCCAGTTTATGCATTTTTTGTGTCTATGTTACGTGACGTCTTCGTAATAATTGTAAACTGTGATTGTCATTTTCATGAAAATATTGTACTGAAAATACTTCCAGATTTACGAAAATATTTGACAACTATCCTACTAATATTATAAAGAGGTAAAGTTTGTAAATTGTGAGTTTGTGACGTTGTAGGGGGTAATCTCTAGATCTACTGAACCGATTTAGATGAAAATTTGTAGGAAGATAGTTTGAGACCCTAGGAAGGACATAGGATACCGGACTTTTATACCGGAAATTGTCCATTAAAGGGCTGAAAATGGGGATGAAAGTTTGTATTGGGAAGCAAGTTAGGGATGAACCCGAGCGAAGCGAGGGTGAGTCGCTTGTTTTAAATAAAACTATCTTTTCAATTTTTCGCGGACTAATTTTAATTTTTGGTTATCGACATTTCGAATGCTTTACAGCAATCATGGTCACGGGAAAGACATACACAATATAGATATAGATAGAATAAACCCGCAAAAAATCCGAAAAGATAGTTTTATTTAAAATGATTGTACT